TGTGGGGCTCAGGTGAGCAGGTGGGGTTCCCTGCAAGCTTTGAAAATGTGTGTGGGCGTCCTGGTCCACATGCAAGAGCAATGGTTGACTGTGGCTCGTGGTCAAAAGGTTTGAGAAACACTGTACCCCATATTTCTTTCTGCTTGTTTCATTAACTAGCTTATTAGAACATACTTAGAAGTGAGTGCATATTAATGAAAATGTCATTATTATTAACTTTTCATGCCATCAAGAGCATGCAAGAGGATCCATAAGTCTTTCCCTACCACTGGGAATTTATTTCACTTCATTATTATAAGTATTATGGGAAGATCTTTCTGCATATTTTTTATGCTTTCAAAACTAGGTTCCAAAACATGAAATGTTTATATCAAAGGATATGATTGTAGCAGAGATGAAATTTAATAGGCTACATAAACTTGGAGATAAATGCAGTCTGTAAATCTCCTCATAGCTGACCTTGACTGACCCCCACTTCCCTGTTTCTCTTCATTTACAGAAAACTTAATCTCTGCACTTGAAGTTAAACTTGTCCCCCTGGCTTACAGTTCTGTTTGCTCAGTTTAGGCTGCCCTCCTCCCCTGGCTCTCCCACAGGGCCCAAGCCCAGGAGAAGCCCAGGGAGGCAGGATCTGGTGCCTGGTTATCTTCTGCCTTTGATAATCTCCCTTGGGTTGTCACTCCCCTCTTTGTTACTTATCACTTTGTCTCTGTTGTCTGTCCCCTGTGCCCTTGAGCAATCCTGTCCACACTTTCTGCCTCCTCTTAGCCCAAACAGGAAGTGCCTCTTGGTCTGCCGGCCTCGTTCCTGTCCCTGGAGCTCAGAAACTCTCAGCAACTCCCTTGAGCCAGCCAGGGCTGCAGGGTGCTGGGAGCCCACCTGCGTCCACCTCTCCCAGCCTGTCTTCTCGGGCCCCTGTTGTAGGCCTGGCTTCTCTGCACTGCCTGCTATCTCCCGGGCTGCTCCTTGGGTACCAGACAGTGGTATCTTTTGCTCTGGGAACCTCCTACATTTATCTGGGTTTTTCCACTCTGCAGTTTGTGCCAGCCATGAAGCTTACATCTCCCTTCCAGAAAGCAACTTGTTATTTAGAGGCAAGAATGTCAGTAGCCAGCAGGGCCGCCCCCTCTCCTTTTACCCCGCCAGCTCTCCATTAGCCTTTGAGCGGAGGCTGCGCTCTTCCCACACACAAGGCCCAGCTAACAATCGAGCACCGTGGGGACACTTGGGCATGGCCCCTCTGCCAAGTCCAGGCCTCCTCTGAGGGGCAGTCTTACTCCAGCGCTGGCCATGGTGGGCAGAGGCCTCCAGGCTGCCCTGCATTCGGAGGCTCTCCCTGTTGCCCTTCATAGGCACCAAATCTGCCTCATCCCCTCCCATGAACTTCCTCCTGAGGTCCTGTTGACACAAAGCGCTTCTCCAAAAAAAAAAAAAGGGCCTTGGAGAATTGCTAATCATCATCACAACTTTGATAAAAATCTGGGAAATGTGTTTTACATATGGGACAAAGAAAGAGTTTGATTTTGTTTACTCTAATAAATTGGAATACAGGGAATTTAAGTGCCCAGGAAGCCCTCTAGGTTGCTATCTGGCCCCGTCTACCTTCTGCAGCCCAGGTGAACGTGCCAGCGATGGACCAGGATACCGTGGCCTGAAGTGAAACCCAAGGAATCTCAGGAGCTGGTTCTTTGGGGAAGACAGCTCAGCAGTTGTGGCAGAAACCCAAAGAAACAAAGCAGACAGCCTCAGGTTGGCAGCA